ACTAGAGGTACATGTTACATTCACTATGGTTTAATTGTTGTCCTGCTCCTAAAACAGCCCCTGAAAAAAGTGAGGCCTGAATGATTCACCTCACTCTGGCAGATTTTCCTCACCTTCCTGCCTTTGTGAGAAAAACTTTCAAGAGCACACTTACGCAGACACATTTCTTCCAACCTCTCTCTGAGATCCTTAGTCTCTGCCACCAGGCTGTCTTTCATCTCCCAACAGACCACTGCTTGAGAAACTGGTCTGCATGGAACAAACTCCTCCCTCTCCTATTCTAACCACTTAGACAATGATTCCTATCGCCCAACCTGAACACAGTGAGTTTGGCAAAAACTGACACCTCCTCTCTCTGCTTTTCTTTTCAACTACCAAACTGTGGAAAAAGAAAAGAAATGCAGAGTCCTCATCCATCACTGTCTGGGACTGACTCAGTCACAGAGCAGCCCCTTGTCAAGCATTATCTTTCCTGTTACTCTGTGGCCTACAGTAAATTACGCCAATTCTCAAAGGTCAGCAAATGTGACATCATAGTCTTAAATCAGACAAACAGCCACTATCCCTCAATAACCCTGCAGCATAAATAATAACACCTGGGTTTCTCTTTGGAGCAGAAAAAAAATCTAGTTAAGTGGTCTATATCTTGTTTATCAAAAATATAAAAACAGCCACAATATTAATCATATTTTATCATCTACCTTTCTACCTCAAGAAACATTCTTTTTCTCTCCACATTAAGATGGTCTTTCTTTCACTGATCTGATTGTCTTAACAGCCATTAATCTTTCCAGGACTCAGTAACTGTCTGGCACTTGCCGTGACCTCATTTGAAAGGTTATTAGGATCTTAGCAGCTCCTGGCAAACCCGAGTTCAGTTTTCACTGAACAGGTTTCTAAGAAATCTCCACTACAAGTCAAACATTTGGACACACTTTCTGAATGAATCAAGTGTGGCTACGGGAAAGGAAATAACACCAAACCAAACTTATCATATCAAAAAGATTGAAAACTGTGGTCATAAAGACAAATTAGAGATTATTTTTAGACAAATCAACAGCCTCCCCACTCTACTGTAGCCTCTGAATGTTTCTTTTCATAGAGACCAATGTACAGTATTCCTCATTTTCCACCATTTTAACAAAGATTCAAACAAAACTGAATCTTTTGAAAAAGATGAATTCACTTTAAAGCACAGATCAACGTAATCATCACTGAGCCGTGGGCGTCCATGACCCTGTCGCTGGTTCACTGTTTGTTCCTTAGACCACTGTTCGCAGGTACTAACCACTGCAGACTGGGAACACCTAACAGGACCTGTAGTGTGGGAGATGCTCTGGCCCACTTGTCATCACAGTTTGGCCCTTGTCAGAGTCACTCAGATCCTTATGCTTGCCCTTTTTTCTGCTTCCAACACATCAACTTCAAGTACTGAATGTTCACTTGCTGCCTAATATACCCCACCCACTGACAGGTGCCATTGCAACAGGATAGTCGATGTTATTCGCCTCACCTCTCAGTGGTCATAATGTTATGCCTGACTGATGTATACTGTTATTACAAGCATGTTACAATGCCATTTAACTAGAACCGCACTGCCTAATTATGGCCACAGAGCTGCCTACATAGCTGTAGACTCTTAGGGTTCTATTTTCCTGAAATAGGGTGAGGCGCTAAACTTGCATCTAAACTCCAGGCGCAAGGCCAACATGGACATGTTCAACATTGTTTTGCAATGTTGGTGACCACAGATGCAGCACACTTTTCTGTGCAGCCAGGTGTTACTGGATGCATTGCTGAGCAGGCAGAGGAATACATGGTGAGCAGGTGGAGCCAGGGCTGGCTTTAATTATGTCCAATCAAACCAGCTCCTCTCATCTGCTTTAAAGAGCAGGACGGAAACCTGACTGACTCAAGTCACTGATGTCAGGGCATGGAAACATATGAGAGGAAAGATTCTTTCTTGTGTCTTCTTTGGCCTGTTATGTACTCCATTCATAAAGTGTGAGCGAAACTATTTATGTAGAAGTACTGCACATAAACGTCTGGTTTATCAGAAAATTTTATTCTCTTTAATAGATTCACTTTTGAAAGAGGTACATAAAAATCAGACTTGTTGGTGGTCACTAAGTTGCTTTCAGCTCTCTGGACTTTTCCACATCAGTAGAACCACTGGCAAGCATTCAACATCATGCTACTATATTCAGCTGTAGCTAGAGTCCATAAAGGAGTGTACCTGAGAAAATGTGCCTCCGTCAACCTCGTGTAAAATGTCTGCCCAAGATTTCTCCATCCCTGTCCGCAGACATGTTGCAAGTCATTTGGTGTATCACAATCTCTATGATATCAAACGGGATGAAATCTGGTATGGAAGAAGAGAAATATTCAGCCAGATTCCTGCTATTTAATATACTATTAGAAGGCAATTTGGCATGAAACCCCTGGCATGTGTAATGGAATTCTCCTGCTCCTTGTGTTCAATGAAATTCCCCACAGGCTTTGGACTGTTGTTGTGTGCATGTGGGTGTTTGCACTGGATGTATGTGTGCCAGTGCTTGTATGAGGCCTGTGAATGGTACATGTGTGTGTGTTTGAGTCCCTTCAAGCAAACAGAAGTTTAGTTTTTTACTGGGGTAAATCTACACTCTCCATCTCCTGCCATGTCTGACTGCTCTCTAAAGTCACAGATAACACAGTGGGTTTAGGCTGCATGCACAGCAGCCAACTGGCCCATTAATGAACCTTTAGCCAGTAGTGTGATGGCTGCCAATCGCAATTGTTTTAAAGGCAGGAATTCAGAAAAACAAGTGCAATGAGACGCTGTTTGTGCTCTTTCTTTCAGGTTCAAATTCTTTTTCTCCCTACAGTTTGAAAAAACATTTGGTCACTGTCAAATAACTAGTAGAAACATCCATGGTGCTTAAATTTGATTTATTACTTTTCATCTGTATACCTGACATAAGTACAGATTTATGTGAAAACTGCTACTCAGGGAAGCATTTTTCTCTTTTTATAGAAACACAATAAAACAATTTGTAAAAGAAGAATGTATTCACTACAAAAATATCTGGAAAATGCAGCCCATAATAGAAAAACACTACAGAGGCAACGATACAAACCCGAGCTTAACATGATTTCTCTTTGCCTTCCTCTTTCATTCGTTCTGTCTGCAGTGGCAAGATCAGATGTGGGATTAAAATTTCATTTTCTTAACTTTTCTTTGTTTTGTTTCCTCAGCCGGTTGATCGGATTGAAGAACCTCTGCTGGTTTTCAAACCCATGAGTCAACACTGCCTGAGAGAATTTTCCACTTGATTCAAAAGCTTCCCTTACATGTCAAAGTGTTAACACTTATGTAAAGTTGCCAGACCCAGAGAAATCCAAGAAGGAGTCAGTGCCACGAAATTATATTAATCACAGAGATAAAATAGTCCCTCCCTATTCAAAACAGCAGGGCAGCCAGGTGAATTCAGCTATTTGGGATTTCTCTTATTAAAGTTTGCTAGAAAGGGAGTTACAAGTCTCAATTGACCTTTCCACTTCTATCTTAGCAGGTGCTTCACTATGAAAAAGCCTGATGTTTGTTCAGATCACTGGGTTTTAAGTATTTTGGTCAGGAGGACTGTAACCATCACAGTTGATGCATTTCATACAAACCCCAAACACACAACCTTCCTTCATTCTTCACTAATATGAAGCACATTTGTCCATAAGAGCTTTGTGTGAAACATGATAAAGCCTGCTCTTCCCCTCACAAAGCCCCCTGTCCTCTATTACTCCATCACCTACACCTTCAAATCCACTCCCCCTGGGCCCTGTCCATGCTCAACAGAAAGTGAAAACATTGCTATCAGTTATGAAATCTGTCTGAACAATGGCCCAGTGTTCTCATCTGAAGACAGACCTGACCTCGATTGTTCATACTTGAGACAAGCTGTGAGTTGACACATACTTTGTAGCCTTTGTAACATGTATCATTTTGTGATTTACCTTTAGAGGAGAGTCTAATTTTGTATTAATTTTGTATTTTGTATTAAACAAACAGACACAGTTCTGTATGACTCTCTTTTTTTTTAAAGCTAAGGAAAAATGAACATTAAAAAAAGAAATGCATGTTTTTACATATCACATACATATACAGTCTGCCAGCACACAAACACAACCCATTCTTCTCATCCCTGCTCTCTCAGCAGGACGTCATAGCATGATCAAAGGCATGCCAAACAGTAGTCTGAAAGTGAACATGTTCCACATGGCCTTGTTGTGTCTGGCCTGTTAAGGCCTGGTCAGAGGAGCTGGCTGGTTGAATTCCTTTTCTGCTCAGTGGCTAAGTGATAACAAGTGTGTGTATGTGACTGTATGTGAGTGTGTGAAATGGCAATACATGAGTTCCAGTGCTGTGTGTGTGCCTTTGTTTTACTTACATTATGGGGACCTAAACCTGTTAACACACACACTGTGGGGTACTTGGCCATCTTTGTGGACTGAATTCAGGAAATCACTGACTTTTAGGGTGGCAACAAGGTTAGGGTGAGGTTAAGGTGAGAGTCAGGGTTATGGTTAGGTGAGTAGTGGTTATGGTTAAGGTTAGGATAGGTCTACAGGAAATGAATGTAAGTCAATGTAAAGTCCTCACAAGGAATGAAAACACAGTGTGTGTGTTTTACATACACTATGGTTTTGCTTTAATCTAACAAAGCATTTTTAAGACTGAGGGCCCTCTTAACAGCATCTCAGTTTCAGAAGTCATAAAAAAAATTTAGCAGCACAAACCCCATATTTAATGAAAGTAGGGAGGTAGGATAAAGCTGTAATGGGCAGCAGATGTGTAATACAAAGAGAGGGAGGAAGACAGGCAGAGAGGCAGACAGTTGGAAACAATGTAGGAATTAAAACAAAATGTGCAGATGGAGGGGATAGAAAAAGAACAAAAGTAAAAGATGTTGTATGTGCGACAGAGACTCTTGAAGGGAAAGAATGCAAAAAATGTGGCTCCTTACCAGCCCGATAAACAAAGTTTGCCTCAGCTTCAGACGAGGATGGCGAGAGCAGCTCGTCGTCATATTCATTGGAGCTGAAGGAGCCAGAGTGGTTCCTCTTGCGAGCGTCCATAACAGCATTGGCCACCATGACGTGCCGCAGCGAATCATTCAGGTAGCGGTGCAACAGGCTGCTCTTGTACTTGGGCGGAGACACATAGTCGTCAGACAGTGAGGCGGCTTTGGCAGCTGAACGCAGCCCCACACCCATACCCATACCCATGGCCATGCTCACCATGGGGGAGCCCTCCTTCTTGATGACACTTGGGTACATGGGCTTGTTGAGCTCCTCTGGGCTGCCGTGTGTCCTCTGAGGATTGTCCCCGTCTACACCATCAAGAGGAAAAATTAGAAAAGTTCAGACTGTTAGATTCTTTTCCCTAAGAAACTGTGCAAATATAATATATCTTCTAAAGCAAATGGTGTCTTTCCTCATAATTTAGTTCATTCACACTTTCTCAAATTCTCTTTCATACTTTTTCCTCTTTTTATTCTTCTGTACCTTTTTTCTTCACCTGTTACTAAAACATGTTTAGACCATATACACTTTTATATACTGTATGTGAGTGATTGTTTGTGCACTTTATAAAATGTCCATAAATGTGTATACTAAATGAAAAATTAAAAACAACAAGATGTATTTTTACACATTTGATTTCAATCTCCTCCTACAGTTTTAGTGCTACTGAAACTATTTATTTGTGCAATTTTTTTTGTTGATTGTGTTATGACTTTTCTTATTGGTAGTTGCTATACTTAAATCATTAAAAAATGTTCCTATAAACATCCATTCAATTTACATGTCAGCACCTGTATACGGTGCAAATTTTATTCATGCTCATTTACTTGAGCAAATGTGTCTCTAGTTTAAATAACTTTCTAAATTACATTCTCATCTCCAGTCAATCAGGTTATCCTAAGCAATTCTCAAATCTAAATACCAAGGCAAGGAGATTTTACCTTGGCACTCCTGCCCTTCTGTTGGCATTGCCTCAAGAGCCCTGTGGGCCAGCCAAAACTTAGGACACATTACCGAACAATAATGGATGGTAGTCGGTTTCCTCTCCATCAAAAGCACATTGCCTCTCTATTCCCCTGGAGAAATAGATAATTCCCAGTGTGCTCTGCAGCTGAAGAGATTGAGTTAAAGCATGGCGTCCCTACCTGATGAAAGGAACGGGGGAAAGATAAAACAAGGCACTGAAATACCAGATGTCCTCTGGCAGGAGGGAAATCAGGGATACGTTCACCAGATACAATCCCTGCCAAGACTATCATTTTGTAATTTGGACAGGTTGGATATTTGATTCAGCCAAATTAAAATGAAACCTCCCACATATTAGAAACACATGGAGGTAGCGCATTTGCTGTCCCTCCCCTGCACTGTCTGAGGCAGATTTCAACAAGCTCTACAGCATCTACTCTGAAACCACAATCTGACCTGTCATTATAATCCTCTGGTAGTGTCCTTTTGCATCTAGGTATGTTCACTCCAGATACCCTACAAAAAGCATCATTTTCTCTTGGGCTTACCACTGTAGCAATAACAATCTTAACTATTTCAGGACATACTGTAAGAGGAATGTACACTGGGTCAGTGGGGTCAGGTCTGGCCCCATAAATAGTCTTTGGGACAAAAGCATCGGTTTAAAAACATAATGGAAGGCTTTTTAGTGCGTGGGTCAAAAGTGGGAGCAGGCTGTGGATAGCTTCATAACCATAATATGACAGGGAAAAGACTCATGGAAATATACAGAGCCTCCGGTGGTATGGTGGCCTGTGGCAGTTACAATGCAAACACCATGTACACATTCCTCTCTCAGCCACACTTTTGGCGTCTCCTACTCAGAAACCTAATTAGAGATTACTGACATAGGCAGCACTCTTCCTTTCTGTTCATTCTTTCACTGTGTCAGTATGTATGGTTTATTTATTTATATTTTTTTAATGTTTCCTGACCATGTTTTCTGTGGTGTCAGTGAGCAGAAAAAAGTAGTTGCTCCCTTGAGAATCATCATGTGTGCTTGCGTTTGCTGTAAATACACAGCTGATGGAGAACTACTCATTTTCAGTTGTAGGCTGGGAGGCAGAGGTTGCTCAGCGGGGTGTCCTAATGACAGCACTTTGGACCCCACTGCTCTTGCTGTCGCTTGGCTGGGTCACACATTTGCCATTTATATGTATCCTAAACATGGCTCTGCATAGGATCAGCCTGTTTTGAATTGGATACCGCAGGAACCTGCCCTTTGGCCTCATGTCAAAATTCTAGGTGTGAGTTTTAAAGGTACAAGAAGTATGATGTAAGAATATTTTCCCAGTTATTCTACAAAAAAAAAAACATCAAGTACCAAACATTGACCAATTTATAATAAAAGTCTGAGACATTATGATGTTGTATCTTTGAACTGATCATTCACTAATAGATGGAGCAGTTCTGCACACAGAAAGGTTTTCCACTGTACTTTAATATGCGTATACGTATATGAAAACCTGCCCACCAAACAAATTAAATAAATTTTGAACTCAACATACAGATTACAGATACTGTAGCTTTTGCAAAAAGCAACTATTGGTTCACAAATAAAAATCACATAACTAAAGTTGCTTTGTGAGGGACAAGTGTTAAATAAGTGTTAAATGATCTCATTCTTTCAGTCACTACCTGAAACTTGTGACCATAGGTGAGAGTTGCATCATAGACCTACTGGTATATTTAAATCTTTGCCTTCCAGCTCAGTTTTCTTTTCATCACAAGGGTCCAGTACAATGCCCACGTTACTGCTGACATTACAGCAAACTGCCTGTCAATCTCACACTTCATACTCTTACTCTCACTCAAGACCAAAACTCCAAAATACTCAAACTCCTTTATTTGGGGCAGCAATTAATTCTGAAACCAAATAGAATAATGCACCCTTTTACAACAAAGAACCATGGCCTCAGATTTGGAGTTCCTGACTCTCTTCCCAGCTGCTTCACACTTGGCTGTGAATCACCCCAGTGCATACTGGAAGTCATGGTCTGATGAAATCAACAGAACCACATAATCTGCAAAAGCAGAAAAACAATTCTGAGGTCCAGCAACCTGACGCACTCCTCGCCCCAGCTGCACCTTTAGATCCTGTCCATGACTTCTTGCCAAGGAAACACAGCTCTCACTACAGTTACATAAGTACTGAATGGTTTGTAACAACTACCCTGGTACCCCATACTCTCACAGTATCCCCCAACAACACCCCTCAAGGGACTCAGTTATAGGCCTTCTCCAAGTCTACAAAACAAATGTAGTCTGAATGGGCAAACTCCCATTACCCCTACAGCAGCCTTGCAAGGGTACCGAGTTGGTCCATTATTCCACAGCCAGGACAGAATCTGCATTGTTCCTTTTAAATCTGAGATTTGAAAATAGGCCCAAGATTTTGTTCCAGCACCAAGTCAATAATTGGCTCACACCTTTGAGTAGATCATAGATTTGACACCACCATCCCAGTATGCCGGTTCACAGGCACTTTCCCTGCCTGTATTCCATGTGACACTGAAGACATGTCAGCCAAGACACCCCAATGTCACTGTCAGTGATACCAATGTCAATCTTAACCTCCATCTCAGGACAAATCACCTTGCCACTGAGGAACTTCTCAGCTACCTCAGGTACTGTACCTCTGCCAGTGAGATGAGTGAGGTTTTACTTAAGTCTTTAGCCTCCTCCTCCTCCTCAAAGGACATGCTATTTGAGTCCTGGAGTTCCTCAAAAGTGTTCCTGTCTTTGCTTAAGATGGTTTACAGCTCTGCTCCTCTTTTCTCCAGAGTGACCAAAACCTACAGTCACAGATCTGATAATGTAGCCACAATCAATCAGTGATCTAAGGCCTAGGGTGTTCTGGTACCACATACACTTTGTTATGGCCAATCCATGAGTGCATAAACACAGACAACAATCATTGCCTTCCTCCAAGCGAGTTGCAACCTGATGGAGGTAACCCCTTCGTCCTCCAAGGGGAACACCACAGTAGTGCTTAGCCAGGGACATGTGAGTAGCTTCATCATGAACAACTCCAGAAAAGAAGAGTCCTGCCACTCTCCAGAAATTTAGCTCCAGGTTTAGTGCTTTGTGTGGAGTTGAGCCCAATGATACTTAGTTGCATCAGTTCTAGGTCCTTCCCCATTAGAGAGGTGATATTCCACATCCCTAGAACCAGTCTGGGATGCCAAGTATCAGCATTCCCACATCCCAGTTGACACTGGGTGAGATGCAGGGTACACCCTGGACAGGTCTGATCAGTACTATCTTAAAATCAAATCAAAAAGTAAGTGGTGACCAGTGAAGGGAGGCCAGAACAGCACTAATGTGCTCTTGTCTTTTTGAATTTATTATGTGTCTAGAAGCTGTATTTTCTACAATCTGTAACCACATAAAACATGTATGACCTTGATAAAGAGGAAGGACCAGGACTTTGAAATGCTTCTCACTTGAAAGATGCATATTAGACAACATGTGACTTGAAATCTTACAGGTCAAAACTGCATATAGGTTTCTGGCAGCTGGTTTGAGATTTGTAGATATGGAGCCAAGACTGTTCTGCAAAGAGGATTTGGACTTTGTATGGTGAAATGAAATTATTTCAGATTTTTTTTTCTTTTAGCTGGAGAAAGTTCTGGAACATTAAGCACTTGATTTGTGAAAGACATTAATGATGTACTCTGGATTGCATCTATCACTGGTTTTTAATCAAATAGATCTGAGTGTCATCTGTATAACAGTGATAATGAATATATTTATTGTGGATAATATGTCCTAGTGGAAGCATACAAATACAAAACAAGGGGTCAAGAATGGACTCTTGGGGCACACCACAAATCAGTGGGGCAACTGAAGAGGAGGAATCACTAATAAGTTCTGTTTGACAAGTCTGATGTAAACCACTGGGTCCCTGATGCCAACTCATTTTTCAAAAGAATCCAGCAAAACTGTGTGAATGGTAGTATCAAAAGCTGAACTAAGGTCAAGGAGAATTGCACAATCACTAGCATCAGCTGTTTAGAATAGACCTTTGGTTTCCTTAAAGAATAATGCTGGTTTTCAGGTTTTTAAAAAAAATTATTTTACACAAATCCCATACTGAGACAGAAACTAACAATGAATTTGTTATATTCACTTTGTCTGTGACTCTATACCCTGGTTTAGCATATTCACCTGTGCCACAGACCTTCATTGATGTTCAAAAACTATTATAAGCATACTAGGGAGCCACACCAATTCAATGGGTGATGTTTCTTCTTCATGAAATGCGTTGAGAACATTTTATTACAAGAAAGTTCCAAAGCCTTAGAATGTCATCACTTTTTACAGTCTCTGGTGTAAGTCTGTGCATGTGTGTGATTCACACCACTCTCTAGCACATGCATAATTGCACATTGACTGTTGACTACTGCACATGCTGCTCCCATGTAGCATACATTTCCTTATTATATTCTTATATATTTTTATTATATCTCTGCATTTGCTGCTTAAAGTGCCTTTGTTACTTATTCATCTGCTTTATATTTGTATTATGTGGCATTCATGTGGATGGCAAAGTAAGAATTTCATTTTACAGGGAAACACGTTTCCTAACTGTGCACATGACAAATAAACACTTTGACCTTTAGCCTCTTGTACTAAACATAACAGCACAAGAAGCTAGTGGAGTAGAGTAAACAGAGCAGAGATCATACACATGCATAGTAAAAAGTAGTAAGTAAACCTTCACAACATAGATTGGGTATATGTGCAATGCTGTGTGGAAAACCCGTGACTGCACTAAGAAAATGAGATAAAACTGAGGTAGGCACTGTGGGAGCAGGTGGTGAAAGAAGGTCCTTAAAGGCAATTGCTTTGTAATCAGACACACAAACTATCCTCATAAATTTAAATGTTTGTAGGATTAAAACCAGAGGAAAGAACAATGTTCAGGATGTGCTTCAACAGACTGAACAGGAGTAAAAGTGTTTATAGTGTCCATAAAATCTACAGTGATGACACACAAGGACAGTAAACATATACACTAATATCCACTAAAACTAAGGTATAAGTTAAAAAGTTAGTTAATTCCTAAATAAAACCAGACATTGGGGTATGTAAATTCATACACAGAGTAATGTGGTTTTACTGTTCAACACAATACTTTGATTCAAATGAATAGTGAAAGAGTACAGGGAGTACTTAAAAGTATTCCTATGAATTACAGCCAGGCCACCATGACCACACAGCCTTGGCTGGTGAAAATATGAACATCCAGGGGGACAAATTTTATTCAGTGTGACACATTTAGGTGTCTGTTCATGCTAGTAAGAGAGATAGAACTCAGAAGTCTATCCTGTGACAGGATGATGACATGATTGGAAACATCACTTATGTTTGCAGCCAGCATTTCAGTCCCTAATCTACTTTAGGACTTAGGAGTAGAGTGAAGGCAATCAGAAATGCAGAAGGCAATGCATGACCAGAAGAGGTCCAAACCAGTTAATACAACCAGGGGTCCAGAGCATACAAGTGGCTACAAATCTCCCACCATCACAATGGCAGACATTAAAAGGAAATGAACTGATTCTTTACAAACTCAGTTCCTTGACAAGCTAAAGCATTATTAATACCAGCATGAATCACAACATTATCACAGACAGATACTTTTCAATGAAAGCAAATAGTTGTCCAGCCAGGTGTGCTTCTAAGAAACACTTGAAAGCCTTTGGGCTTTAGTGAAACACCACAGGCTTTGCCATGAGTTAGATGGAGCATTGGTGATGAGTGGCTGGCTGGGGGCAGCAGCAGCAGCCATGTCATCTCCAGAGACAGCACTAGGAGGCTGGTTAGGATTATCATTTGCTACAGGGAAGAAACAATTTATGACAGAAAGTGGCCCAAGTGATGCTTGATTCATAGCCATGCATCTGCTTGTTTTCATTCTACATCTGACAATCTCTGTCAAGAGGGGACAGTCAAGAGGAGTGGAACAGTATCCCTCCTGGTTGTTGTTGATTGACTGTGGAGTAGTTCCTCCAGACAGCAGACTGCTGAGTTGTTTACCCAAAGGATGGTGGAATTTCCAGCAGCAGTGTCTTTGTGAGTGAGGAACCTTTTCAGCCATCTAGCTCTGATATTAGACCAATACCTTTCCAGTAAGAGCCTGACAGTCCTTCCAAGGAAGTAACTGGTTAGCAGACACTTCCTTGTAGACAGCAGAGGGTTGCAGGAAATTTCATTCCGCTCTGGATCAGGCAGCACAGCTGACATCAGCATACATACAAATGGTGGATAGTCCTGTCACTCAAGGCCAGTCCACATGAGAGGGACGGAAATGGGGGCAGAAGGAAAACTGACAACACTGCCAAATAAGTTTTGAGGTATGCTAAAACAGTCTTTCATCTTAAAAACAACAGATGGATACTGAAGCCTGTTGAAATCTCCTAAAACTATTTGATAATAAAAACCTTATAAACTCACAAACATGAAACAGGAGCAGAAATATCAGTGAGAAGCCAAACCAAACCACAGCCATTTTGGCACAGTTGAAGTCTGCGCCCACTTTTTTTTTCAAACATCACACCTCTAGTTTGTAATGCTCTCTGTCCATGCTTTTAAATCTCAAGCCTGAGCCAAAGCAGCACTGATTACATCTTTAGAGTTATAGTCTCAGACTTGACAAAGCTTTTCGGCAGCCACAAAACACATTATACAACTGTTTTTACAGTCCTGTAGAACAGTGTCGGCGTAACTGAACTTCATGTGTCAAATCATTAGAGCACCCCTTTAGTAATATTCTGTAGCTGAAAGCAGAACTCTTGAACATTTCAGCATTTTAAAACTTGCCAAGCCATGTGAAACACAGTCCATTCTGTTTATCTACTGTAGATGTTAGAATTAGTTTATAGATTATTATTAAGTAAAGGGATGCTATTCCTTGAATTCTACCACATGTTCCATGATTTTTGCTGTGTATCAGTTGACTCTCTGCCCCTACATCATCCAAAATTGCTGGGTCTTATTTCTGTCTAGGGGTGTATTTTCCACAAAAAATGCCTTTAGTCAAATAACCACCAACTTCATATTACACGGTAAACCTGGGGCTTTCAGAACTGTCTGGGACTGAAACAGTTGCAATTTTCATAGGTAAGCAGTGATCTTGGTGGTTTGTGAATTCATGACTGTACATTTATAACACAAACCTCTTTTAACTTTGGAAAGGAGCGTAAACAGTGAAAGACCTGTGGCTGTAGTGCTGTTGAGCTGTACCTTCTGAACAGCTGTCATCACTGCTGACGCTGAGCCTCTCTGCATTTCCCTGAACATATTTGTTGTATAGCTTGATCCTGAGTGCCCAGCTCAGGTCTGGCTGCCTCACCGTGTTCTTCAGTCGCCTCCTGGCATTAGCAAACCAGTTGGAGACCTGAATGAGAAAGAAAAAGCAATAAAAGGATGAGGGGATAACACACAGTACATAGAAACACACAGTTTTGATTGCAAATACCTCCACATCTATAGAAAAAAAACTTCTGCTCTCTGCCTGCCACCAGTCTCATTCAGAAAATCCCAGGAGAGACTGTGGCAAAAGACAAACTGAGTCTGGTTGCAAAACATTTCCCTGAAGGTGAACTTTAAGAAACATCACAGCAGCTCTGGACAGATACTCGGGCATGTGTCTTTTCCATTTCAACACCACGCAGAATCATTTAACAACCTCTAAATGCCGGACAGCCAGTGAACACAAGATTTCATTAATGGATGAACCTACTGAGATCTAAGTCTCCTTTGCTTATTCTGGACATACACGGGCTCCATCCAGTAATACATCTTTTTCAATGCTGTCTTCAAGATGAATAACAAAGACATGAGTTGGTGCTCTTTCTTTCACTGGGAAGCGCGACCATTAGATGTTATACTAGAATAACTTTTCATGCTCAATAGATTTCAAGTGGCTTATGAAGGGGCCAGACTGGGGTCTTATGCTAGAGTACTTATTTTTCTGATCCTCTCTCTCAGTATCATGTTTCTTGTTAACTGAGATGATCCCTTGTCCGTTTGTCTCAAGCCCAGCACTGTGGCACACCAGGGGAAGGGCAGCTTTTAATACAAGAGGCTTGGCCACAGGGAAGTGAAGTGAAGTGAGGTGAGGCAAAGCAATACAGGGATCTAATGAGGACTGGAGCAAAGATGGCTGTCAGTGGGGTGAGAGAAAACAGAAAGGCAGGAGGAAGGGGAAGGTGGATGGCACGTTTGCTCAGATGACACACAGAGACATTAAATAAGAGAGATGTAGCAGCCAAACCAGGTACTTCACCCATGGCCTATCTGCTCTGGATGTACTGTAGAGGAGACAGCATGCAGGCACGGAAAGGGATTTCAGTGGTGATGGAGAGATGGCACTGGCTTATTAGAGCAAATTCTAAAGAAACATTTACATGGAAAAAAGGGCTGTTTTGCAAAAGCAAAAAAAGATTAAATTGGAAAAAAGGGCTGTTTTGCAAAAGCAAAAAAAGATTATATTGCTTTAATCAGTTCGTGCCAGGCTGGTGGTGGTAGGGAAAATTGTACAGGAGGTGATGTGTCCGACATTTATCTGGACTAAACAGTGGAAGAACTGGGTAGCGTGTAGCCTTGAGGTGACATCTTGTTTTGTTTTGCTTGTTTTGTCAAAATAAGATGAAATAGTCCATGTTTTTGTTATTTATAAAGATTTTAAAAAAACTGAAAAACAACATGTTCTCACATTTGAGAAACTTGACATGTGGCTTGAATGATCAATTATGACATTTATTGACAATTCTTTTTCTGTTGATCAGCAATTCAATTAGTAGACTAATAGTCACCAGAACACAAAATATAAATAGAAAATTAAAGGACAATAAAAAATAACTTTTTTAAATAGATCCCTTCAAAGGCATCATTTATGTAGAAAAATGTGAGGACAATAATTTACCCGCCATGCCATCACCCTTGTTCAGTTTCAAGACACTGCTGCTGCTACTATATGGGTGTCAGCTTAACTGTATGCATGTGTGAAGTGTGTGTGTGTATGTGTTTGAAGCACAGCATCTCAGTGTCCAACACAAAGAATTCCTCTCTACTCTGTTCACCCTGACCAAAAACAAACATGTCCACCAGGCCCCCAAAATGAGAAACAGATTAAGCATCAAGGCTGACGTCCAAAAACAACAACAAAAAAAACCAAAACGCTGCAGACGTTGTGAGGCCATATCAGTGACCTTGTCAGGCAGATGATACTGTACATTATAAAATTGTACATACCAGACACACAACACTTTCACCAGCAGGCTCTTCCCATCTCACTGCTCAGTTTGTCAGTTGCTAAAGTTGTCCACTGTATTCTAATGTTATCAGTAGAGGGTGCAACAGAACCTAATACAAAAGCCTGTACTGTAACTGCAGTACAGCTACGCCTACTGAACACTGCGAGTGTCCAGCTCTTTTTGGGGTCTCCTGCTAAATACAAGTAGGAAGATTCAAAAAACAAACAAAATAACAAGCAAGAAAAAAATATATCTTGTTACACAAATTTTGGTTTGTTTTTCTAGATTTTTAAATCTTCCTATTGAATTTAAGCAACAAAAAATTATTCCAAAATTTCAAAGTAAATTCAAACAATATAAGAAACTGTCCAGCACAGCCATAGTCAGTGGACACTGCCTTTTGTGGTTGAAAATGTGGGAACCTATATGACTCCAAATTTTTTTTTATGAATACATTAGCTTTTTCACATAATTGTGAAGTTAAAAATGAATGAACATGAGTGCCAACTGAAGCCTTTGGAAGAAAGGAGAAATAACAACATAACATAACAGCAGGTACAATAAAACATTAAGTATATCACAAACCTGTATTATGACTACAATGTACAATACAATAATAGATCCACAACTGATTCCAGTATTGTGATTTAAGGGGTCTGAAGATAAATGACACAATAAAAAAGATTATATATTTCTGCAGAACAGTTATACATCTCCAAGCCTCTACACTTTCTTCAAATTAACTAGGACACGGAAACAAAATCACTTTTCAGTTGAGCATGAATTGCTAGGTAGAAAATATTTATTTGACGGGCCATAAATCAAAAAGTTCACACTTACACACCTACGTGACTCCAAATATTATTTATGACGACTACATAAGGTTCACGTTGCAGTGAAATAATCAAGAATGAGCATGCATTTTGAGGAACAGCTGAATTAACAATGCACCATTGCATGAGTGTTGTAAACACCTCAAGATGTATGAAAACATAATGCTCACAGCCTCTTAATTGCAAATGCAAGTTAAAAATCCAGTCTTCCAACCTGGTGAGACAGATGCTGGACTAACCTGGACCAGGGTCATTTGTGAGCCGAGGGCCAGCAGGATTTTCTCTGTCTTGGTGGGGTAGGGGTTGTCTCGATGTTTGTAGAGCCACTGCTTGAGGGGGCGTGCCATGTCCTGCAGGGCCTGGCGCTTGTGTCGCACTTTGCCACCGCTGGGACGACCCCTGTGGTGAAATAGGAAGAATCATGGTCAGCCAGATACCAGACTGTAATTAGATTACATTACAGAAACCTTTTATTACAGCATTCAGAGACCACAAACCCCATTTATAAGTGAATTATAGGACTTTGGGGTTTTATCATTTTAATATAAGCCTGGAACATTTGCTCGTTTGTAGTTATTCCAGTAATTACTTTTTCCCCGATTTCTATTTTTAACTAACAATCTGATGCAACAACAAATATGCAGGATAGAGTTGTTCTTTGACTTTAAGATAGACTGTTAGAGATGTGGGTTATACATTGTAATTTGTCATCAACACCAAGCTCAGCATAAAATGTGATATAGACAGAATTGTCAGTCTGTTTCTCCCTTTTTCAAATTAAAGTGAATGGGAGTAATGTTATTTACTGAAATGAACCAAACAATGCTGTGCAGCTACAAGTGCGGTGACTTTGTCAGCCATCAGATACAGTGTGAACATGCTATGCAGTATGCAATTTTCTCACCCAAAACACTGCAATTAAGATAAAAGACGCCGGATTGAATGAGAGAGAAAGTGTCTGAAACATACGGAGACAGAAGGAAAGACAGACAAACAACCACTTGCTTTTCATTTTTCACTGTGTGTGCCACAAACCACCAATATGTTGAAATGTAAACATTTTGCTCAGATGCACATTTTTCCCAGGTTAACATTTTACACCTAGGAGAAGTGGGTTAAAAATAATGTAGCTGGGTTACAGCCAAGCCATTGCACAAGGGACTGAAATTATCCTTCTGGCTTCCCTTTGCAGAAAAGAGACCTGTTACATGTGCAGCACAGAGGATGCCATAACAACATAGCATTAGAATAATACCACGGGGTCACTAAACACCACTTCAGCAGCTCACTAGTGAATACAGGTACAATAAGCGCCATAGTGGTACAGTATAGTCCAAAATAAAACAGCAGAAAATATTGAGAAATTCATTACAGAGTCCCTGTGACTCCCTAAAGGAGTATTTAAAAGCGTTTCACCAGCCTGACACAGTTGATTAGTTTAGTGAATGATTCAGTCTCACCTGCTACTCAAGATTTTATGAACCTGTAGATGTCAGTGTGGTGCTGTGCTCTGCTTCTGCCTTTATCTCACCAAACTGCTTGCACTGCTTGCACATGTAACATATTTCAGCCTAACCTCAAGTCTGCCTGAGGTTCATGTTCTACAAATATTTTCCTTGTAATCGCCATCGATATAAAGATCCAAAAGAACGTTTTACTCTGTGCTCTGAAATTTAGGTTTAAAGGCTGGAACTCACTCTCTTTCTCTCCCTATCTCTCTCACTCACTCACTCACACACACACACACACACACACACATACACACAAAGCCTTGTTTTAAAATAATTGTTCTTCATTTCTACTGATGCATTCACATCATATGACTCATTATTCACATCATACGACTCATTATATTCTTTCTTATTACCACAGGTTCCTCCTCTGGGCTTTATAGGGTCATTCTTGCTCCACCAATTAACATTCAAATAATACCTAAACAAATGCTGTCATGACGTAATCTTTTCTTACACCTGCTCCCTGTCACAGGGAAACATACAAAATATTTATGTTTTAAAAAACAGCAGAGGAGCCCTTTTGCGATTGACTAGACCACACAGAGAGTTGAAGGATGAATTTATTTATTGGAAACAGATGGAGATCTCCGTAATACACGGCACACAGCTGACCCACTTATTAACTTTTACATTAGGTGTGAGCATCGTTACCTAAATGAAGACCAGATTGGAATCGGGTAAATATTACTGCAATTCCCAGATCATGCTGCATTAAAGTCACATGAAAAAAATTAAATGATCAAATTACTGTTTCAGTCTTCAGATGTACAGCACAAGTAGTTACAGTTTTCCACCCATGAACGGCATTGACTAGTTTAGCTGTGCATAAAAATGCCTAATTTAGCATAGCTACATAAACTGTTTATCTAATTGAAATTTAACGAATAGTTATATCTTATAACCCTAGGAGGCTTGTACATATATAGACCACCAATATATCTTTACAGGAATGGACTGAGCTCGGTATTTCTACACAGAGCTCTAACAGTAAAACCAGCCCTGCAACAGTTGATGGAGCAGGATAAAACAGTAATATCGACCCTTTTCCCAGTCTGGTCTTCCTTTAGGTAGTGATGTTCACATCTGTTAATAAGTGGGTCAGCCCTGCTGGGGAAGAGCCTGTGTAATAGAAGTACTCCTCCTTCCAGGCTCCAATTAGTCCATACAAAGCGCACATGCTGACCAGCAGCGTTAAACACAACAGAATCCACATACCCACTCCGCCTGTGTCTGATGGCCTGGTTGTCTCTGATGGTCTGGCTGCTGGAGAGGAGGTCTGGATGTTGCCCATCAATGACTTCTAGGTAATTTCTGCTGCTCATTTCCACCTCAGTCGCTTTCTCCTCAAAGAGGACGTGGCTGCCCAGTTTGTTAAATACAATGGCGCTCATCTTTGGCCAGAGTCCTCTGATGTGCAAAATGTAAAAAAGTACAAGTCTCCTCGGAGTTGTCACAGTGTCCACGTCTCTCACCTGTAGAGTAAGCGTGGATATTTTACAAAAGGTGAATTTGCACACAGGCTACAACTGTGATGTGAATATGACCTTTGCTCGGTGAGTATAATGAAAAAAACTTTAATATCAGCAAACCCTCGGCTCCATATAAATCCGTCTTTGTCCTAGAAAACGCGCACCTTTGCATTCATTAGGCCTACAATTTGATTTGTGTGTGATTAGATTACGCTCCACTATGTATCCGCTCAGACTAATACACTGCATGAAATGTAATGTTGCACTGGAGCGGCCCGTGCCTAAGTGTCCTGTTGTGACACGTCGCTCTTTGTCAACACTTGCATCTGTGATTCCTCTTCATAAAGTATCAGTATAAAATCAGGAAGCCTTAAAAGAAGAGTTGTCTTTTAAGTGTACATTCATGGTGCATATATTTTTTTTGAAAAATAGCAAAAAATAAAATCCTGACGAATCAGCGCAGAAAGCAGGTTAATTTGATTTCTGCCATGCGCAATAATGCCGCGTTGCAACAAAACCCTATTCAAAAGTTAGACAATTTTTTATAATCCTCAAACCTCGTTTTCTTTGAACAGGTGGCAAACTTCTACTCAGTTGTATTTAATGCAGTTTCAGTGAACGTTTTAAAAACATCTGGAAAGATCAATTAATTTTATCACCGCAGATGGTTTGGACTATACAGGCATCATTTGGATCGAATTGCGCTCGCATGTCGCTAAGTCCTGTATTGTTTTGTTGTTGTTTTTTTGGGGGGCGCTCCATCTTTAATAAAAAACAAACAATCCTAAAGTCTCAGATATGTGTTGTTTTGTTTTCACTTCACACTAATTTTGAAGTTACACACACAGGTAGAATTTAGAATGCGTAGCGTAAGAACGCACCGTGATTTGGTGCCACCCGCAACAGCATGGTGCCAAATATTCTTTATAAGCCCACTTTACTGCATAACAATGATGTGCCTTGAATTAAACAAAACTTCATAGTGGCAATATATTTAGAGCCCATGTCTGTATACAGGCTGTCGCATTTAAGTGTCTACATAAATGAAAGTCATACAAACAAACTAATGTCAGCATAAACAGTAAACTCGGTCTTGTTCATTCAAAGTTGTATAAACAGACTTTAAATTGGTTTCTCCATTACACCACTACATCCCTGCTCTTAAATCTTACTGATCTGGACAGACCCTGTATAAAGCTGAAGTAAGGTCCACTCCTAGAACAATAATCAGTGTGGTGTTAGTGTATCTCGTCAGTTACCTGACCCGGGAGCTTCCAGCGTCTTTCGGTTGTGTAGAACAATAATCCTGTTTCCAGTCGCCCTTTCCCTGCTCACATGTTCCCGTCCTGAGATCCTGAGCTCAAACCACACAGACCGCCGTCTCCGCCTGCGCTTTATCCAGCGGTCTGCGCTCCACCGCCCGGGACTCTGAATATCTCACCCCGCTCATGTTTCCTTGTACACAGACTGAGTCTGCGAACATACTGTTCATGGTTTACGCCGGTTCTGGGGCCGAGGCCAGCACAGGGAGGAAGGTGGGAGGGAGGCATCATTCTGCAACGAGTAGGCTGTCTAAATCGCTGAAACCCAGGTGGAGTTATAAAACGTTGCTCTTCTTTAAACAAATGTAGACAACTTAAATGGGAAAACGTCCTTTTCCTCAGAAATTCTCTTGAAGTAAGTTAAAGAGTTTTAATAATTTATCATAGCTGTTCTTGATTGTTTCCACTCTGGGTCAGCTAACACCTAGTTGATTAAAGCAGCCGTCCCTGGTAGGCTAGTGGTTAAGGGTTCGAATCAGGGCTGCGTCAGGAAGGGCATCCTGTGTAAAACGGTGTCAATATGCGAGTCGTCAGTGTGACGATTCGATGTGGCGACCCCTGAACGGGAAAAACCGAAAGTGATTTTCTAGTTGGTAAGTGATTTATTAATGGTTAAACTAATGCTTTATAGACCAATTACAAGCCAGTAAGTAGTAGTTTGAGCTTTTAGGAATGTATTTGTTGCTTTTCTGGTGAAGGGTTACATGAGTAAGCAATTCCACTTTTTTATTTGAACAGTTATTAGTGTCAGGAGAAGTTTTGATTGATTGATTGATTGATTGATTGATTGATTCTTTCAAACATGCAGAACAGAACAATGAACAAATGACAATAACACACATGATTACACATATCCAACCAATGCTAATTCAAAATCAGTTTGCTTACCCCTATTACATGTTTGAATGGAGTAGGAAGAAGTCAAACTTATCCAGTCCTACCCCATGACATCATAAGTTAGCTTAGTTGAGAACAAAGACCCTCTCCAAATTACTGACAATTGTCATGTCAGATTTTATTTATTTAATCAGTATAAAAACTGATGTATAAAACATTTATCTGCCATTTTATGGAGGGTTATTTTTTGCGCTAGTTTTAATACAAGGTAACTGTAGTCAAATGAATTTTCACAGCATAGCAATCCAAATGTCTTTTTCCCAGTGGGTTGTACATAACTTCAGACCTTTGGTAAGTTGTTTATTTTTCCGTAATGAAGCCATTACAACTTAAAACCCCTTTATAAAGAATTAGAGCCCATCATGACAGGATTAAACAGTTGGGCCCCAGGGCAACATTTTGCTATTAGGCCCCTTCTGTGACCCTGTCTGACTACCATCTTTGAAATGTGTATGTCTTTTGCCTCAAAGTTTGCATAATGTCCAGGGTATCTTACTTCTGTGGTGGAATAATACTGAAATCAATTTGTAGTAATGCAGGATCTGCTTTGGTTGATTTACTGCTCTAGTGATGCAAATGCCCCATTAAATATTTGCAGTTAATTAAATACAAACCCCTACTAGGAAATAAAACAAACAGTATCCCATTCATTCACTGCAAAATCAAACCTTGGTCCTGTAAATCAAGTCAAGTCACAAATCTTTATCGTCATTATGCATAGCACAACGAAATTTTTTCTGGCAGCTCTCTGCTTCAAAAACAGACATTATTTATATAACACACAGTTGTATAAGTCAATATAAAAATATGAACAAACTAGAGAAATGCATTTCCTGTTGAAAATGCGTGTGGATGCTATGTGTTGAACAATCGCCCTGAAAATGCTGAACATTTTGACACCTGAAAGGCATATCTACCTGAAAGTATGCTGAAGTACAATTTTCTTGTTAATTTGAACGAGGCAAGATTTTCAAAATAAAGCTAAATATTTCAGAAGTGTATAAAAATTCTGAAGAGAAGCATGAATGTCCTGGGAGACTTGAATGTTTTGATACCTGAAATACATGAAAGTATGCTTAAGAAGAATTTCCCCATTCATTTGAAAGGGGCAAACTTTTCAGAATAAAGCTAAATATTTTAAAAGTGTGATGTTTTGAAAAATTGTTAATAAAAGCATGAATGTCCTTGAACAGCTGAACATTTTGATACCCAAAATAGCTGAACGTATGCTGAAGTAGAATTTTCCCATTCATTTGAATCAGGGAAAACATTCAAAATAAAACTAAATATTTCAGAGGTATGAAGTTTCGAAAAATTGTGAATAAAAGCATGAATGTCCTTGAGAAGCTGATAATTTTGATACCTGAAATAGGTGAATGTATGCTGAATTTGAATATTCCCATTCATTTGAATGGGGCAAAAATTTCAAAATAAAGATAAATATTTCAAAGGTATGAGATTTAGAAAAATTCTGAAGACAAGCATAAATGTACTTGGAGAACTGAACATTAAATATTTCAAAAGTATGAAGTTTAGAAAACTTCTGAAGAGAAGCATGAATGTCCTTGAGGAGCTGAACATTTTGTTAGCTGAAAGTATGCTGAAGTAGAATTTCCCCATTCATTTGAATGGTGCAAGATTTTCAAAATAAAGCTAAATATTTCTAAAGTATAAAGTTTAGAAAAATTTTGAAGAGAAGCATGAATGTCCTATAAGAGCTGAACATTTTGATACTTGAAATTTAGCTGACAGTATGCTGAGTGTAGAATTTCCCCATGTGTTTGAATGGGGCACGATTTTCAGAATAAAGCTAAATATTATAAAAGTATGAAATTTAGAAAAATTGTGAAAAGAAGCATCAATGTCCTTGAAGAGCTGAACATTTTGATACCTGAAATAGCTGAAATTATGCTGAAAAAGAATTTTCCCATTCATTTGAATGGGGCAAGATTTTCAAAATAAAGCTAAATATTTCAAGAGTATGAAGTTTAGAAAACATCTGAATAGAAGTGAATGTCCTAAAAGAGCTGAACATTTTGGTACCTGAAATAGCTGAAAGTATCCTGCGTGTAGAATTTCCCCATTCATTTGAATGGGGCAAAACTTTCAAAATGGAGTTATATACTTCAAAGGTATAAGGTATACAAAAATCCTTAAGACAAGCATGAATGTCCTTGAAGAGCTGAACATTTTGATAGCTAAAAGTATGCTGAAGTAGAATTTTCCCATTCATTTGAATGGGGCAAGATTTTCAAAACAATGCTAAATATTTCAAAGGACTGAAGTTTAGAAAAAATCCTGAAGAGAAGCATGGATGTCCTTGAGGAGCTGAACATTTTGATACTTGAAATAGCTGAAAGTATACTGAAGTAGAATTTCCTCCATTCATTTCAATGGGGCATGATTTTCAAAATAAAGCTAAATATTTCAAAGGTATGAAGTTTAGAAAATCCTGAAGAGAAGCATGAATGTCCTAAAAGAGCTGAACATTTTGGTACCTGAAATAGCTGAAAGTATCCTGCGTGTAGAATTTCCCCATTCATTTGAATGGGGCAAAACTTTCAAAATGGAGTTATATACTTCAAAGGTATAAGGTATACAAAAATCCTTAAGACAAGCATGAATGTCCTTGAAGAGCTGAACATTTTGATAGCTAAAAGTATGCTGAAGTAGAATTTTCCCATTCATTTGAATGGGGCAAGATTTTCAAAACAATGCTAAATATTTCAAAGGACTGAAGTTTAGAAAAAATCCTGAAGAGAAGCATGGATGTCCTTGAGGAGCTGAACATTTTGATACTTGAAATAGCTGAAAGTATACTGAAGTAGAATTTCCTCCATTCATTTCAATGGGGCATGATTTTCAAAATAAAGCTAAATATTTCAAAGGTATGAAGTTTAGAAAATCCTGAAGAGAAGCATGAATGTCCTAAAAGAGCTGAACATTTTGGTACCTGAAATAGCTGAAAGTATCCTGCGTGTAGAATTTCCCCATTCATTTGAATGGGGCATGATTTTCAAAATAACGTTAAATATTTCAAAAGGTATGAAGTTTAGAAAAATTCTGCATAGAAGCATGAATGTCCTTGAGGAGCTGAACATTTTGATAACTGAAATAGCTGAAAGTATGCTGAAGTAGAATTTTCCCATTCATTTGAATGGTGCAAAGCTTTCAAAATAAAGCTAAATATTTCAAAGGTATGAAGTCTAGAAAAATCTTGAAGAGACGCATGAATGTCCTTGAAGAGCTGAACATTTTGCTACCTGAAATTATGCTGAAGCAGAATTTCTCATTTATTTGAATGGGGCAAAACTTTCAAAATAAAGCTAAATATTTCAAAGGTATAAGGTTTACAACAATCCCGAAGAGAGGCATGAATGTCCTTGAAGAGCTGAACATTTTGATAGCTAAAAGTATGCTGAAGTAGAATTTTCCCATTCATTTGAATGGGGCAAGATTTTCAAAACAATGCTAAATATTTCAAAGGACTGAAGTTTAGAAAAAATCCTGAAGAGAAGCATGGATGTCCTTGAGGAGCTGAACATTTTGATACTTGAAATAGCTGAAAGTATACTGAAGTAGAATTTCCTCCATTCATTTCAATGGGGCATGATTTTCAAAATAAAGCTA